CCAAACAACAATGACGGCTGCAACCAAAAAATAGCTGGGCGTTGTGGTGGGTGCCTGTGGTCCCAGCTACTTGGGAGGCTAAGGCAGGAGACTCGCTTGAGCCCAGGAGTTGGAGGTTGCTGTGAGCTGTGATACCACAGCATTCTACCCAGGGGGACAACTTGAGGCTCTGTCTCAAAAAAAAAAAAACAAAAAACAAACAAACAAAGGAAACACATTTGGGTTTGTGTAAAGATGGTTTATGATAACTAAAACTTTTTTTCAGAGTGTCTCACTCACTTGCCGTGGATACAGTGCCGTGTCATCAGAGCTCACAGCAACCTCAGCGTCTTGGGCTCAAATGATGCCCTTGCCTCAGACTTCCAAGTAGCTGGGACTATAGTTACCTGCCATCATGCCTGACTAGTTTTTTCTATTTAGTAGAGATGGGGTCTCCCTCCTGCTCAGGCTGCAACCAAAAAATAGCCAGCCATTGTGGCTGGCGCCTGTGGTCCCAGCTACTTGGAAGACTGAGGCAGGAGACTCACTTGAGCCCAGAAGTTGGAGGTTGCTGTGAGCTGTGATGCCACAGCACTCTACCCAGGGGGACAGCTTGAGGCTCTGTCTCAAAGAAAAAAAAATACACAATAGATGTAATAAAAACTCTGGATTGGAAGTTAACCTTTTTCTTTTCTTTTTGTTTTTTGCAGTTTTTGGCCAGGGCCAGGTTTGAACCTGCCACCTCTGGTATAGGCTGGCGCCCTACTCCTTTGAGCCACAGGCACCGCCCCTTTTCTTCTTTTTTTAAAGACAGGTCTCTCTATGTCATCCTAGGTGGAGTGCTGTGGTGTCACAGCTTACAAGCTGGAACTACCAGCGCCCGCCACAATGCACGGCTATTTTTTTATTGTAGTTGTCATTGTTGTTTGGCAGGTCCGGGCTGGATTGAAACCCACCAGCTCCAGTGTATGTGGCTGGCCCAGCAAGTTAGTTGATATCTGAATCCCTTTTGAAATACTTTTGCCAGGTGAGCGTCTAAGCTAAGGCATTGAAAGTTCTGTCTCAGCAAAGCAAAGAACATAAAGTGTAATGTTTGTCCAGGTTTGACCCATGGAACCTTTAGGTAATTATTAGAAAAACAGATACCAGCTCGGTGACTGTGGCTCAAGCAGCTAAGGCACCAGCCACATACACCCAAGGTGGCGGGTTCGAATCCAGCCCGACCCGCCAAACAACAATAATGGCTGCAACCAAAAAATAGCTGTTGTGGCAGGCGCCTGTGGTCCCAGCTACTTGGGAGGCTGAGGCAGGAGACTCGCTTG